CCCCCAGAGCACCCCTACCCCCCAAAGCACAGCACCCCTACCCGCACAGCACCCCTACCCCCACAGCACAGCATCCCTACCCCAAAAGGCACATCACTCCTACCCACCACACACACACAGCACCCCACACCCTTAAACACATACACTGCACCCCTAAATGCAGTCTGTGTGTGTATGTAGTCAGCAGTCTGTGTTTGTAGTCAGCAGTCTGTGTGTGTGTGTATTCAGCAGTCTGCGTGTTTGTGTGTATTCAGCAGTCTGTGTGTGTGTGTGTGTATTCAGCAGTCTGTGTGTGTGTGTATTCAGCAGTGTGTGTGTATTCAGCAGTCTGTGTGTGTGTGTATATGCAGCAGTCTGTGTGTGTGTGTGCGTGTGTATGTATCCAGCAGATTGTGTGTATATACTCAGCAGTCTGTGAGTGTGTGTACTAAGCTGTGTGTGTATTCAGCAGCCTGTGTGTGTATTCCGCAGTCTGTGTGTGTGTATGTATTCAGCAGACTGTGTGTACTCAGCAGTGGGTGTATTCAGCAGTCTGTGTGTACTCAGCAGTGTGCGTATTCAGCAGTCTGTGTGTACTCAGCAGTGTGTATTCAGCAGACTGTGTGTACTCAGCCGTGTGTGTATTCAGCAGTATGGGTGTATTCAGCAGTCTGTGTGTGTGTGTGTGTGTGTGTATATTCAGCAGTCTGTGTGTGTGTGTACTCAGCAGTGTGTGTGTATGTATTCAGCAGTCTGTGTGTGTACTCAGCAGTGTGTGTATGTATTCAGCATTCTGTGTGTGTACTCAGAAGTGTGTGTATTCAGCAGACTGTGTGTATTCAGCAGTGTATGTATTCAGCAGTCTGTGTGTGTGTGTATTCAGCAGTCTGTGTGTGTGTGTGTGTATTCAGCAGTCTGTGTGTGTGTGTGTATTCAGCAGTCTGTGTGTATTCAGCAGTCTGTGTGTGTGTATTCAGCAGTCTGTGTGTGTGTATTCAGCAGTCTGTGTATTCAGCAGTCTGTGTGTGTGTGGGTGCATTCAGCAGTCTGTGTGTGTGTGGGTGTATTCAGCAGTCTGTGTGTGTGGGTGTATTCAGCAGTCTGTGGGTGTGGGTGTATTCAGCAGTCTGTGGGTGTGGGTGTATTCAGCAGTGTGTGTGTGTGTGGGTGTATTCAGCAGTCTGTGTGTGTATGTATTCAGCATTATGTGTGTGTGTGTGTGTGTACTCAGCAGTGTATGTATTCAGCATTATGTGTGTGTGTACTCAGCAATGTATGTATTCAGCAGTGTATGTATTCAGCAGTCTGTGTGTGTGTATGTATTTAGCAGTCTGTGTGTACTCCGCAGTCTGTGTGTATGTATTCAGCAGTCTGTGTGTGTATGTGTGTGTGTGTGTACTCAGCAGTGTATGTATTCAGCAGATTGTGTGTGTGTATTCAGCAGTGTATGTATTCAGCAGTCTGTGTGTGTGTGTACTCATCAGTGGGTGTGTATTCAGCAGTATGTGTGTGTGTGTATGTATGTACTCAGCAGTCTGTGTGTGTATGTACTCAGCAGTCTGTGTGTGTATGTACTCAGCAGTCTGTGTGTGTACTCAGCAGTCTGTGTGTGTGTTCAGCAGTCTGTGTGTGTGTTCAGCAGTCTGTGTGTGTGTTCAGCAGTCTGTGTGTGTGTGTATTTAGCAGTCTGTGTGTGTGTGTATTTAGCAGTCTGTGTGTGTATGTATTCAGCAGTCTGTGTGTATGTATTCAGCAGTCTGTGTGTGTGTGTACTCAGCAGTGTATGTATTCAGCAGATTGTGTGTGTGTATTCAGCAGTGTATGTATTCAGCAGTCTGTGTGTGTGTATTCAGCAGTGTGTGTATTCAGCAGTGTATGTATTCAGCAGTCTGTGTGTGTGTATTCAGCAGTGTATGTATTCAGCAGTCTGTGTGTGTACTCAGCAGATTGTGTTTGTGTATTCAGCAGTGTATGTATTCAGCAGTCTGTGTGTGTACTCAGCAGTGTGTGTGTGTGTACTCAGCAGTGTGTGTGTGTGTGTACTCAGCAGTCTGTGTGTGTACTCAGCAGTCTGTGTGTGTACTCAGCAGTCTGTGTGTGTGTGTGTGTGTGTGTGTGTTCTCAGCAGTCTGTGTATGTGTATGTGTATGTGTGTACTCGGCAGTATGTGTGTGTGTACTCGGCAGTCTGTGTGTGTACTCAGCAGATTGTGTTTGTGTATTCAGCAGTGTATGTATTCAGCAGTCTGTGTGTGTACTCAGCAGTGTGTGTGTGTACTCAGCAGTCTGTGTGTGTACTCAGCAGTCTGTGTGTGTGTGTGTGTGTGTGTGTTCTCAGCAGTCTGTGTATGTGTATGTGTATGTGTGTACTCGGCAGTATGTGTGTGTGTACTCGGCAGTCTGTGTGTGTACTCAGCAGATTGTGTTTGTGTATTCAGCAGTGTATGTATTCAGCAGTCTGTGTGTGTACTCAGCAGTGTGTGTGTGTGTGTGTACTCAGCAGTCTGTGTGTGTACTCGGCAGTCTGTTTGTGTACTCAGCAGTCTGTGTGTGTGTGTTCTCAGCAGTCTGTGTGTGTGTGTTCTCAGCAGTCTGTGTGTGTGTGTACTCAGCAGTGTATGTATTTAACAGTCTGTGTGTGTATATGTATTTAGCGGACGGTGTGTGTGTATGTATTTAGCAGACGGTGTGTGTGTATGTATTTAGCAGACGGTGTGTGTGTATGTATTTAGCGGACGGTGTGTGTGTGTATGTATTTAGCGGACGGTGTGTGTGTGTATGTATTTAGCGAAAGGTGTGTGTGTGTATGTATTTAGCGGATGGTGTGTGTGTGTGTATGTATTTAGCGGACGGTGTGTGTGTGTGTATGTATTTAGCGGACGGTGTGTGTGTGTATGTATTTAGCGGACGGTGTGTGTGTGTGTGTGTGTATTTAGCGGACGGTGTGTGTGTGTGTATTCAGCATTCTGTGTGTACTCAGCAGTGTGTATGTATTCAGCATTCTGTGTGTGTGTGTACTCAGCAGTGTATGTATTCAGCAGTCTGTGTGTGTATTCAGCAGTGTGTGTGTGTGTATTCAGCAGTCTGTGTGTGTGTGTATTCAGCAGTCTGTGTGTGTGTGTATTCAGCAGTCTGTGTGTGTGTGTATTCAGCAGTCTCTGTGTGTGTGTATTCAGCAGTCTGTGTGTGTGTGTATTCAGCAGTCTGTGTGTGTGTATTCAGCAGTCTGTGTGTGTGGGTGTATTCAGCAGTCTGTGTGTACTCAGCAGTGTGTGTATTCAGCAGTCTGGGTGTATTCAGCAGTCTGTGTGTGTGTATATTCAGCAGTCTGTGTGTGTGTGTGGGTGTACTCAGCAGTGTGTGTGTATGTATTCAGCATTCTGTACTCAGCAGTGTGTGTATTCAGCAGTGTATGTATTCAGCAGAGTGTGTGTATTCAGCAGACTGTGTGTATTCAGCAGTGTATGTATTCAGCAGTCTGTGTGTGTGTGTATTCAGCAGTCTGTGTGTATTCAGCAGTCTGTGTGTATGTGTGTATTCAGCAGTCTGTGTGTGTGTGTATTCAGCAGTCTGTCTGTGTGTATGTATTCAGCAGTGTGTGTACTCAGCAGACTGTGTGTACTCAGCAGACTGTGTGTATTCAGCAGTATGGTGTGTGTGTATTCAGTATGTGTTTGTGTGTATTCAGCAGTGTGGGTGTGTGTATTCAGCAGTATGTGTGGGTGTATTCAGCAGTATGTGTGTGTGGGGGTGTATTCAGCAGTATGTGTGGGTGTGGGTGTATTCAGCAGTCTGTGGGTGTGGGTGTATTCAGCAGTCTGTGGGTGTGGGTGTATTCAGCAGTATGTGTGGGTGTGGGTGTATTCAGCAGTATGTGTGTGTGGGGGTGTATTCAGCAGTATGTGTGTGTGTGGGTGTATTCAGCAGTGTGTGTGTGAGTGTATTCAGCAGTATGTGTGTGTGTGTGTGGGTGTATTCAGCAGTCTGTGTGTGTGGGTGTATTCAGCAGTCTGTGTGTGTGGGTGTATTCAGCAGTCTGTGGGTGTATTCAGCAGTCTGTGGGTGTATTCAGCAGTCTGTGTGTGTGGGTGTATTCAGCAGTCTGTGGGTGTATTCAGCAGTCTGTGGGTGTGGGTGTATTCAGCAGTATGTGTGTGTGGGGGTGTATTCAGCAGTGTGTGTGTGTATTCAGCAGTATGTGTGTGTGTGGGTGTATTCAGCAGTGTGTGTGTGGGTGTATTCAGCAGTGTGTGTGTGTGTGTATTCAGCAGTATGTGTGTGTGTGGGTGTATTCAGCAGTCTGTGTGTGTGGGTGTATTCAGCGGTCTGTGTGTGTGGGTGTATTCAGCAGTCTGTGGGTGTATTCAGCAGTCTGTGGGTGTGGGTGTATTCAGCAGTCTGTGGGTGTGGGTGTATTCAGCAGTCTGTGTGTGTGGGTGTACTCAGCAGTGTGTGTGTATGTATTCAGCATTATGTGTGTGTGTGTGTACTCAGCAGTGTATGTATTCAGCATTATGTGTGTGTGTACTCAGCAGTGTATATATTCAGCAGTCTGTGTGTGTGTATGTATTTAGCAGTCTGTGTGTGTGTGTGTACTCAGCAGTGTATGTATTCATCAGATTGTGTGTGTGTATTCAGCAGTGTATGTATTCAGCAGTCTGTGTGTGTGTGTGTACTCATCAGTGTGTGTGTATTCAGCGGTCTGTGTGTGTGTGTATGTACTCAGCAGTCTGTGTGTGTGTATGTACTCACACAGCCTGTGTGTGTGTGTGTGTACTCAGCAGTCTGTGTGTGTATGTACTCAGCAGTCTGTGTGTGTGTATGTAC